ATCAAGAAATATAGAATAAGAAATAATAAAAGTTCTGTCAAAAGAAAACCTGTCATTGGGTTTTCAATTATATTTTGTGTATAGTTAATTGTTTATAAAAATTTATTATTATAATAGATTTCTGTAGATGGTTAACTGTATACAAAATATAATTAAAAGGCTAATAACAAGTTTTCTTTTGACAGCACTTATACATGATATTTTAAATTAAATAAAAAGTATAGAAGACTATATACAAAAATCAAGTATACAAATTAGTAGAGAATTAAAATTTTTGATGAATTTTCTTTTATACAAGTAGATTATAAAATTATAAATAGATAACAGTTGTTTAATAACAAATAAGAAGGTAAGATAAGCAAAAAAGAATTGATTGTAATAGTATTTAATTATTTTAATTAAAAAAGCTACACACAACAACTATATTTTTTCTCATAGTTGATTGGTTTAAATTTAAAATCTGATATTTTGCATAATTAAATTTTGGCATTTATTATTAAATTAATTAATTGAAATAATAAATTAGTAATCTAATTACTAGCAAATCAGATTGAGAGAGTTGATTGAGAACAAAAAGAACAATAATATAATAGTGAGAGACAAAATGGGTTAAGTACTAAGATGCAAAGTATAAACAAATACACAACATAATAACAAAAAGCATAACAAAGGATTAAGATGACTATTGTTAAAGAGAGAAAAATATTAATTAGCAGTTTATTATATATTGTGTAACAAAAATGATAAAGAATACAGTATCAGTATTATTCTTATTCAGGTTAGAAACAGATAAATAAACATATTTGTTTATTTTAAAAAGTATATCTAGATTAGATTATTAATAATGACTATATTAATTTAAATTAAAATAAATAATATAAAGCTGTGAAATTATTATGAATTAAGTATACAAACATGAATTAACATAACAAATGCAAGTTAAAAAGAAATATACAAAAAGAAAAAATTATATAACATCAATATTATGTCGATTATTACGAATTATTATAAAGATTGTTGTGACAGCTACATGTATAAAAAATTATATAGTTAAGGAAAAGTGCTTGTAATACAAAATATTATTTTTTATCAACTATAAACACTAGCTTCAAACAAACAGTTAATTTCTTATAGATTATCAAAACATCAGAATGATAAAATATCTGAAATAAAAAATAAAAAAATAAAAAAAAAAGTATAGCATATTCTTATAGAACAGTTAAGTTTTCTAAAATAATAATAATTTTTTATCAGAGAAGTAATTAAATAATGCACTGAGCTTAGGTGTAGAAAGAGTATGAGCAAAAGCATAAGAAAGAGCACAAGTAAAATCATGAGCATGAGCAAGAGTAAGCATAAAAAAACCATACACAACACTTTTATTTTTGCGACACATTAAATATCCTTTTTTAGACAGTTTTTTACTATAAACAGAGTAAAAAATTAGATAATCAACATGAGAATTACTACAATAAAAGTTCCACATTTTACAAAAATAAGATTGCTACACAAGGGTGTTAATAATTATTGATCAAAATATATAATTAAAAATCAAAAACATTCAGACTAGATAATGAATTTGTATAATTAATAATGTGATTAAATTTGGTAATTGTTTATTTTTTAACAGATAAATTGTCAGTTTATAAGACACTATAAATAAGTAAGATTAGGTTATATGAAGTTGATTTAAGTAAAAGTTTTCTTGATTTTAAGTTTAAATATTCTAGCAATTATTTTATTAAATTTAATAATTTTTTTATTTTAATTTTTTATAATTTCAACATTAAAATAAAAAAATTTTAAGCAAATTTACTGTAATTAATTAGTTGTTGAGATATTTTAATTTAAAAATTAAAAAAATTTTACTAAAAATGATTTGCCCTTTTTTTATTGACTCCATCCACATATAGTAACTAATTAGATTTTAGTATTTAAAATATATAACTTGATTTAAATTTTATAATTCTCAAGCTACAATCTAATTAGCTTTTACTAAATACAAAACTTTTCAAATATAAATTAGTTTATACTTATTAAAAAAATTTAACTTACAATTTTTTTAACAAAATTTAATTTTTTATTACAATAATTAGTACTTGTATTAACAGTTAAAAAATTTTATAAAACTGGATGTTTTATAATACAGTATACTGTATATAAAAACTTTAATAAACAAAGAAGTTTACTAAAACGCACCTATATATAGTGTTTTACACCTATGTATATGGTTTCTCAAAAATTAGCTAATTAATCGGCATGAAGTATTCTAAGTAAAAATGTTCTATGCCCTAAAAACCCTTCCCAAACCCTAACATTAACCCTAATACTAACCTTAACATGAAAAAATTTGTATTAAAAATTTTATATACAAACTTATAAAAACAGAAAAATATAAGAAAAATATATAATGGGTGTAAAGCACCATAAGTGTGCTTTATAATAATTGTAAACAAATATTTTTATTTATCAAATTTGATACGCCTAGCAACTATTAATAAAATTCTGATTATTAAAAATTCTACGTAACCTATTATGCGTTAGTTAAATCATTTTATTTGAGTACTGACCTGTAAGTTATGCTTTGTGAATATTTTTTAATAGAAATACGTATCTCAAAACCAAGCAACACTTATTATTTCAATACCAATTAAATCGTCTTAATGAGATGATAAAATAGCGTTACTTATTTGTATTATTTATTACAATCAGTTTCTTACAAGCGCATCAAAAAGGTATCTATTATTAGTAAGCATTTATATATAGTTATCTTCTTGATGTATAAGCGGAGTTTGCCATTCTAGCACGCACCCTCAACCCTGTTTTTTTATGATTAACCAAATTATTTCCGCCAAAAAAAAAAAAAAAAAGGATTAAGGGGTAGTAAATCTCCATTGAAACTATTTTTATGTTACTCAGTACCTCAGAAATAATGCTCTGGGACGTTATACATTATAAGTAATTTTTATTTTATTAAAGTTTTATTATTATACAGTATATATAAACAAATTTTGAAATGTATTTAAAGAAAAATTGTGAAGAAATTATTATTATTGGAATATTTTGATTAAGTGAGCGATTTTTATTCAGTACTTTTCTGAAATTAACAAAATCATGAGATATTCAATTCGCCAAGTCTACTCCCATCTTTCACCCTCATACGTACTATATATACTCCTTAACCTTAATAACCTTAATAAGGTGTTATTACGTATAAACTACGTATAAATTGGTATTAAAAGTCCAATAAATTATTTCTACCATTAATAATAAATTACAATTGAAACGGGACATCGTAGGTTGTTTATAAATTGAGCAAAAAAATATCAAAAAGGGTTAACCAGTAATTTATTATGTGATACAGTATTTTAAACTACTATATATAATTGAGCAAAATCCCGAAACCGACTAAATTGGCCAGCATTATAACTAATGCCAGCTAGCTTTGTCGGTATTAGGTCCTTTCGGTAAAATTGCTCTAAAATGAATGTTCTCTAACGCTAAATTCAGGCCTTAAAAAATAATTTTTAAATTACAAGATGAATTTAGTATCAGGTATTAATATATGTATATATTATTATCTCTAAATGCAAGATCTCTTTCACGCTTATAATCGAACATATACTGTATGTTTCACGTCATTTATAGGCATCAAATTGTAAGAAAAGTGGCATAAAATTGTTCAATAGTCCTATAGTATGTTAATAAATTATTTCTTACCTATCTAAGAAAATGTATTACGTAAATTTTTTTGGAATAATCCATATATCACACTCTATCACTCTCTATCACTCTGTGGTGACTTTATTTACATGTAGCACAGTTATTTATCACACCTGAAATTACCAAGAAAAAATATGCGTGTTAGAGTTTTAAACCTAATGACATAAAAAAATAAAACCGATTTCAAACTCATTTAAAACTCAGCTTTTAAGCAAATCTGTCTGATAATCGTTAATTGGCCTAAATTAAAAAAATTATAATTTTGGCAAAGGTATAGCTCGACTCCAGATGGAATTAATGGAGGGCCTTGGCGCCCATATAAAAGTCGTATTCTTTTTTATAATTACAGGTGATATGAAATACAGGCGAACGGCTGATTTTCACATAACCTATTGTACTATATATAATACACATATCTTTAATTAATTCATATGAATGAAAGTACAAAAAAAAAGTGATTAACAAATAACGTACGTACGTACAGATAATCCTCGTACATCATACCCATGCGTGTTACTATATTTGATTGTTTAATCCACAATGGGGTTCTCATTACAGGAGTTCGTGGCAACGATAGTGGTACGTACTACAAAAGATGTCCCATCGGACTGTGTCGAAATTCGTGATGCCTGAAAGTTTGATGATGTTATGGTCTTTGATAATAATTAAATTAAATGTTTACAATCGATAACTAAAATAAACAAAAGCATAAATTAAATTCATTATTAAATTTTATATTTACCAGGACCATTCATAATTGCTATTCTAGGTCGCGTTTAAGGTTGCGTCCAAAATTTTCTAGTTTTGGATTTGGTAGAATCACAAATAGAATTTATTAGGTTCCGCAAAATTAACTATATTACGGATTCTTCTGTTCAGAAAGTGATTCTTTTTATAAGCTCTAGTAGTAGAACCTCGATTACAAATAATGAGGTAAGAGAAACTAGGGAAATAAATATACTGATATCACTAAAGTAAAAAATGAGATATAATGTAGTAATGATCTGCTACGTAAAATGAAGTACTGGTAATAGAAATAATGCTACGTATTACTGTTAATGTTAATAATATGTAAAATAAGCATAATAAAAATCTTCGCATAACATCACCCCCATAATAATTCCGGTTACCTATCTTTAATAGGTGCATTTCAATTAATTGCACGCTTTTTAATCCACTAGTTAGCGATAAACATTGACCATATAATTTGATTGAATTATTTAAATAACAAAATTAGCATGTTAATGGTTATATTCGAACGATCGACAAATTATCGTTTAACAATCAGTGATTACCGTCTAAACGGCAATAAAAATCAGATAAGAAATTAAAAAAGTGAAGATTCGCATTTTTTAATCATATATTAATTTTTTATGTTTTAATTACATATTGCAAAAATATTGCAATTCACTCATATGTATGAACCTGCACACTTTTCATATAACCAACGCTTCGTTCACTCCATTCTTGATATAATTTTATCGTTACGATATTGATAGAGTAAGCAAGTGAAACGAAATCAGGTTTAATAAAATGAAATTTCGCGCTAGTATGAACAGATTTTAAAGATAGAAAAGTTTGCGCGATACATATAATACACCAATTGATAACATAGGTAGAATCATGAATAACCAAATATAAATTGCACATATCACAAATTTAAAGGCCATGAATAATAAATAGTTTTTTATACGTATTTA